AGCAAGGGAGCCTGAAGGTAAGAATATTTGATCACCACCTAACTTCATGTTTTTAAAAGATTTGGGCTCCCTGCCAGGCCACAGTGAAATTACAAAACAGAAGTTCATTTCTGCTGTGACCAGTCTTTTTTTTAATTTTTTTTTTAATGAAAGCCTGAAGTTTGTTTATTCTCGCTAAGGATTCATCTAGAAACACAAATGCATTGTCCATAAAAGTCGTTTCCAGTTTTCCTTTTCATCAAAGAACATAAATCTAGCAATGATGTTAAAAGTTAGTGTCTATAAAAACTTCAAATGCATTGTTAGCATGATTGTATGTTAGCCTATAATTTCATAATAGTCATTTTTACTATAACATGGTATGTGTGTTCTAAAAATCATCCCACTGATGTACACTGGTACAGATAGGAACTGAAAATACAGGGAATCCAGGGTGGATGAGCCCTACAGGACCAGTGGTGTGAGTGGCGAAACAGGGAGGGTAAAGGGAGAATGGGTAGGAAAGAGGGAACCGATTACAAGGAACTATATGTGACCTCCTCCCTGGGGGACAGACAACAGAAAAGTGGGTGAAGGGAGACGTCGGACAGGGCAAGATATGACAAAATAACAATTTATAAATTATCAAGGGCTCATGAGGGAGGGAGGAGCGGGGAGGGAGGGGAAAAATGAGGACCTAATGTCGGGGATTTAAGAGGAGAGAAAATGTTTTGAGAATGATGAGGGCAATGAATGTACAAATACGCTTTACACAATTGATGTGTGTATGGATTGTGATAAGAGTTGTATGAACCCCTAATAAAATGATTTAAAAAATAAAATAAAATAAAAATCATCCCACTATACTTCAAATAGTTTTTAAAAATTATAAGAGTTATGGGAAAAATGGCTCTAGAGTGTACCACTCAAAAAATATATTAGTGGCATATAAAAATAGAGAAGTATCTTAATAAACCAGGCAGTAAAGTTTTATTTATGTTACATAGTTAAGAAAATACATAAATACTATACAAGAGATATGACCCTTTACCTGGAAAAGGCCCTGCAATTTGTTAGTGGAAGTAGGTATAGGAGGAGCTTCATCTTGGAAGTTATTTGTTGATGCGTGGCTTATCTGATAGTAAACCTGACTGAGTGTAGTTCATAAAACAGGCAAGTGAAGTACTGGTAGGTCTTTTGCAGATAAGGGTTTTGTGTTGTCTTATGTGGCTGGATTCCATTGCCCACTGTTTGCTTACTTTACTTTATGCTCAAATTGTTCCCTAATACGTCAACCATGTTAGAATGTAAGCATTACAAAATAAACCTTTTAGCAAAACTGATAGTACTCTTAATCTGAATATCGATGCCTTTAAAACAAATAAAAATACTGGCGGCTTTCTGCTCCCATAAAGATTTCCATTCTCAGAAACCGAAAGGGGCAGTTCTACTCTATGCTATGGACTTGTTATGAATCAGAGGTCCTTCAATGGCAGTGAGTGCTGTAGGTGGACTATGGACAAGGATGGTCAGGTGTAAGAAGGAAGTACTCTTTATAAGCAAGGGCAGGCTCTTTTCAGTTTGGGACCACAGCCAAATCTAGTCTTTTTATGCCTTTTTAATCCCTGTCATGGGTTATATTGCACTTCGAAGAGTTTTATCCTCTTTTAGAATATTAGAATGTACATACTTGGATACTTCTACGATATTCATCATGTTTTATGATTTTGGTATTGTTTGCTTTATCCCCAGAGGCTATAATTATCTATACTGTTATCAATTTAATGTTTGTTATATAAACTCATCTCAAAAGAGAATCTATATTTCCACTGTTGCACTTTTTAAAGCAACAGGCAAGACCTTCATGTGTGGACCTTTTTTTTTTTTTTTTAGTTTAATTCTTTGGGGTTTTATTTTATTTATTTTTATCATTTTATTGGGAGCTCGTACAACTCTTACTACAATCCATACATCCATCTATTGTGTCAAGCACATTTGTACATTTGTTGCCATCATCATTCTCAAAACATTTTCCTTCTACTTAAGCCCTTGGTATCAGCTTCTCATTTTTCCCCCTTCCTCCCTCAATAACCCTCAATAATTTATTTTTAAAAATCTCATGTCTTACGCTGACCAATGTCTCTCTTCACCCACTTTTCTGTTGTCTGTCTCCCCCTGGGGGCTGGGTTATCAGTACATCATTGTGATCGGTCTCCCCTTTCTCCCCCCACCATCCCCTTCCCCTCCTGTTACCACTACTCAGTATCGGTCCTGAGGGTTTTATCTGCCCTGGATTCCCTGTGTTTCCAGCTCTTGTCTGTACCCCCGGACATGCTGTGGTCTAGCCAGATTTGTGAGGCAGAATTGGGGTCATGATAGTTGGGGTGGGCAAGGAGCATTAAAGAACTAGAGGAAAGTTGTATGTTTCATTGTTGTTACACTGCACCCTGACTGGCTCACCTCTTCCTTGTGACCCTTCTATAAGGGGATGTCCAGTTGCCTGCAGATGGGCTTTGGGTTTTCACTCCACACACACCCTCATTCACAATGATAGGATTTTTTTGTTATGGGTTTTTGATGCCTGATACCTGATCCCATTGACACCTCATGATCACACAGGCTGGTGTACTTCCATGTGGACTTTGTTGCTTCTGAGCTAGATGACTGCTTGTTTACCTTCAAGCCTTTAAGACAGTGGTTCTCAACCTTCCTAATGCCACAACCCTTTAATACAGTTTCTCATGTTGTAGTGACCTCCCCTCAACCATAGAATTATTTTTGTTGCTACTTCATAACTGTAATTTTGCTACCGTTATGAATCAGGCAACCCCTGAAAGGGTCATTCCACTCCCCAAAAGGGTCACGACCCACTGGTTGAGAACCACTGCTTTAAGACCTCAGATGCTATATCTTTTGATAGCTGGGCACCATTAGATTCCTTTACCTCATTTGCTTATGCATCCATTTTGTCTTCAGTGATCATGTCGGGCACGTGTAGACTTTTTATACAGTGAAAATACCACCACAAATAAAGATCTAAACTCACTATTTCTTTTCAGTGCCCACCTGTTAGACATATCTGTAGAAACAAAATCCCTCCTAACTCGCTGATAATTGAGTACTCTTCGTGTTTATTAAGGAGCCTTCTTGAAGCACACTGGTTAATCACGTGGCTACTAACTGAAAGGCTTGTGCCTCAAACCCACCAGTCACACTCTGCAGGGAAAGATGTGCTAGTCTTCCTCCATAAATCCATAGAGCTCTGAGAAACATGCCTGCTGTGAGTCTGGATCAATTTAACAGCGGTGGATTTGAGATGATTTGTGCATGCATTTATTATTAGTCCAATTATTTGACGGGATAACAGGTAGCCTGACACTATCTAAGGTGACCGGATGTCCTGCTTTTGGTGGGACAGCCCCGATTTTTGGCGGTTTAAAAAAGTCCAGATTTTTTGGAAAGAATGCACGACAAGCTAGGGAACGGTCTATTTGGTCCGTATAGACCAAATTTTTAATCAGGTGTCCTACTTTAAATCTGGTCACCTTAACTATACCTCATTAATTCTACTGAGTTATAAAATTTAGTGTGTAAATTAGAAAATTGTAGCTGCACTTTTTTATAGCGTTGTATTACTTAACTGATGGTGTTTCAAGAATATAGCATTACCAATAAATATCATAATAATGAAAGTTATAATTTGGGACAGAAACCTAAGTGTATTATTTATGTAAGAAAAGTATTAGCGTGTAATTATGGACTTCTCGTAATATAAAGCACATGTAATAAGTATACTAATTTTTAAAATTAACAAATCAATATTTAGTGCGTTATCTGGCAGTTTTTCTTCGTAATGAAAGTAACTTTTCTGAGGTCAAAAAGCCAATTGGGGGGGGAAAGCCAGTCGTAGGTAGATCTTTTGCAGATCTCAGCTTTATGGTATTTGACTCAGTAAAGCATTACTAAGTCTCAACTGATAATGCATACTGGTTGTTGTATGTACTGGGATACAGGGTGGGTTATTTTGAGCAGTGAATATGCTTAGCTCTGAGATAGGAACTTTTTGTTTTTTTTATTTGTTCCCTCTTCTCTCTTCAAGAAGACCTAATCTCAAACCTTCAAAGAAAGCAAATGCCTCCTTCTTCATAGCTAGTCATCCTTTAATTTGAAGCAGGTGTGTGTTTGTGAACTTCCTGCGCACAGAGTCGGTTTCTTTGGTTCTGTATTTCGTTTACTTAGGATTTTTTTATTCCTCCCTAGGTGCCATTTTTCTAAAACATACCTTTGTCAAGTACTACAGATATTTTTAAAATCCTAGGGTATTTTAATAAAACAGAAAGACCATAATTGTTACTTTGTATTAACAATACCTACCATTCTTTAATGTGCTGATTTTGCATTTTGCAGATCCTAAATGCATTTTCCAGTTTGTCTTAATGCATTTATTTTAGCATGTGTACTTTACCAAAACTAGATTGAAATTATTTACTTAATGTAATATGCCAGAGTAATAATATTTACTGTAATATTTTGGTAATTGGGTATAATTGGTATGTTTTATATATGCCTATATTATATGGTTAGATTTACTTCTCTGTACTCCATATATGAATTTTGGCTTTCTAAATTAGTACACGAAGAAATAAAGGTGGGTTGATACAATTTTCATTGTTCATGGCCCACCAATGACATGTAAAAAGCCATAATCTAGACCCCAATCAGTTTACCATTGGTTCTATAATAGTGTAAAGAATGGATTAAGCCTGATCAAGAGTGGAAGGTGGGAGGGGAACCACGAGTTCAGCTGTGTTATAAAGCTAGAACTAGCATTTACCCATATACACTTAACAGTAGACAACAGGAAAAAGGTATATTTAGGAATCTGAACAGGTCTAAGGGTTTACATTTGGTCTCCTTTGTTACTAACTTAACCGTTATAGAAATGGGTATTTTACTACCAGAGTGTTAGAAAAACCTTCGTGATGAGAGAGTGTCAACCAGTTCTCTTTTTCTTCTTTCAGCCATAATGAAAGGAAAGTGACCTGCAAACATCCAGTAACAGGACAGCCATCACAGGACAATTGTATTTTTGTGGTGAATGAGCAGTAAGTAAAGAGTTTCATGAAGTGTCTGCACCCACTATCGAGTGAACATTGAGATTGCTCTCGTGGGCACTTCATTCAGTGCACGTTAACCGTTTTCTTATCTGGACATTTCCATTCAAGTCTCAATAACAAGTTGAGAACTACTTATATGAAAGAGAAACATGAATGATTTTTATAAATTGTTTTTGCCTTACAGGCAGTAAGCTCAAGGTCAGAGGGACTGTAAAGCAGGTCATAGTATTAAACACATTTGAGTTCAATTTTCTAATCCTTATTCAGCAGTAGTGATGATTGCCATTTCTTGGTAGTAGTTGAAGTATGTGTGAAAGTACTTTTTTACACATTATAAAGCTCTTAGTAACTATCCTTGTTATTTTTAAATATTTGAATAATATTAATTCATTCTTAACTTTCTACCTAGAAGACTAAGTAGAATATCTGCACTCTATAAAAATGAACATGACATTGTTGAATTAGATGCTGAATTTAAATGATACTAAATTTAGCTGGTTTGTATATGTGTTGTGTGATGTCATTGATTGTGTATCCTATATGCGTTTTCCAGTTTTTAAAATGTAGTTATTTTAGCACGTGTATTGAAAACTTTACCAAAACTCTTGAATTCATACCTTAATGTAATAAGCTAAAATAGTAATTACTATAACTGGTGTTTGGCCATAGAAATATTTGGTATGTTATATAGACCCATAGAAATATTTGGTATGTTATATAGACCTTATGTTACTAGATGTTCTCAAACTACATATATTTCTATTACGTTCTTATACACTCACTATTTGCTTGGCATATCTCGACTTGGATATCCAGCAGGCATCTCAAACTTAACGTGGTTAAAATTTTATCCCTGCATCTCAACTTCTAAACTTATCTTCTTTCTTGTCTTTTGGCCCCAGATCTAGGAGACATCCTTTGTTTTCCTTTATACCTAGTCCTTTAACTTCCTGTACGTACTTCACTGTCTGCTAGTGTGTTTTACTGGGGTGGCATGGCTCTTGCTGTGATGCCGGAAGTTATGCCACCGATTGGAATACCAGCAGGGTCACGGTGAACAGGCTCCAGTGGAGCTTCCAGACTAAGAGCAGAGTACTGAGAAGGAAAAGTGACTCTCTTCTGAGTGATCAGTCACAGAATGCCTTGTGAAGAGCAGCAGAGCATTGTTTAGTATAGAGTGTGATGCTGAGCCCGTCAGCTTGAAAGGCACTCATAATCTGGCTTGGGGACCTAATTCACCCACACTATGGTAAAGGCAAATTAATATGTCTCTTCTAGACATGCCTTTGTAATGCCACCCAAGTAGTTGGGTGCGACTCCGCACATAGGGTGTGTGAAATACTAAGAGGCCATTAGTTAGTGTTGTAGGTGAGCCGACTCAGAAGCGAGAAGAGAGAAAATCACATGACCATGAAGAAATGATCACCACAAGCAGAGCACGTGCAGAGGAGATCCCTGTCTGAAGTGGTGAGGGGAGCAGAGGACCACGAGACAAGGGAGGGGACTGAAGTAGAGGCAGGCAGCACACATTAGGACCCATGGAACAATGTAGTATTAAGTTAAATTTGGAGGGGAGTGGGGTGCCAGCCCCCACGGGTTCAGTAAGCACAATTGTACGGTTGATTTATATATATATATATAATTCATCGAGAACATGAGAGATATTACAATAATGCAGTCAGACACATTACATGGTAGCATTGCTCACCTCAGCCCCGCTTGATGGTCCGTGTGGGGGGAACCCGGCCACGAGAGCAGGAGCAGCCTCGGGGACCAAGAACTGGGGAGCCTCCCCTGGCCCGAGAGCCAGAAAGAGCCCCGGGAATTGGGGAGAGCCTCTACTTTATTGCTAACCAACCATTATATCTCTTTAGGGGGACATGACTACAGGTAACCACACGTCACAGGAAGGGGCAGTACAATAGGCATACATATTGTAGGAAGGGGATCTATGATAGGCATAAGTTTAACAGGAAGGAGATGAGCTAGGGGTGTGCCCATAGGAATGGGAAGGTTTAGAGGTATACATGTGACAAAATGGGCAGACCCTAGATTCATGATGACAGCCTAACCTTGGTCATCCTTGGGCGGGTTTGACCTCTCTGGTGTCTCCTACAAGGAAACAGACAACTACTATCCTTATCAGAAGGGAGTGGGCTCTACTTGTTGTGGGATAAGCAGTGGTGTCTGCTTGCTCTAGGTGGCTGATAGCTCTTATGGAGAATAATCCCTGATCTACTTCTGATGACCTCCAAGTGTATGGTCATTCTCAAGCAGCTAAGTCTGGCATATATTTAAGGGAGACAGCTTGAGAGAAATCCTTCTGTTTCCCACAGAACAAGGAGGGGGTCAAGGGACCATGTAACTGAGAAGCTAAGGACCAGAAAAAGACATGCTAGCCAGCATGCTGAGAAGAGATTTTAGACAAAAGAACTCTATCCTTAACATTTTGAAAACTATAAACCCCGTAATCGTGAGACTTGTCTATGAGTTCTGTGTGGCCAATGCAAGGAATTATCGAACCCAGCAGAGAACTGGAGAGTACTGATGGGAGGTCGGGGGTTGGGGATATTATTGATGTCAGAATAGGGTAGAAAATGATGGAGTATTGAGACACATGTGATATCCGGTCTTGGAGTTGAATTTTCCTTCTCCTTTGTGTTCTGTTTCCGCTCTGTCAGACGTGGCCCCCACACCACTTCTTCATGGTCAGTGTTCTGCATTCTACTTATATAGTGTTTTGTACCATTTGAGTGTTATATTGTGCTTGTGACTTATGTGTTCAAAGAAGTTGATTTCATTTCTGAAGTTTATGACAGAAACTCAGCAAAAGAAGTACAGCCAGAATGTTCCCTAGAAGTTGGTAGACTTTGTCTTATGCAGTTTGGATACATTGACAAGAAAAACCAATCCCCGAAGAAGGATTAGAGTTGCAAGACGTGATTAGATGCAAGACAGATTTGCGATGTTGTTTGATGCTGTTGATTGGTTCAAACGTGTAGCAATGTGTGTACAACCGAACAAAAACTGTCTGTCCCTGTGCCGTCTTTACAATTGTTATGTTTGAGCTGTTGCTGCAGCCACTGTCCAGCAGTCTCCTCCAGGGTCTTCCTCTTACTCACTAAGCCTCTACTTTATCAAGCTGACGCATGTACTTCTTCCCAGACAGATTTGTTCTTAGGGCAGCTAATGGTACTTTCCAATATTCCTCAAATAATTCAAGTGCATCAATTCTTCTTCAGTCTTCCTTACTCGCTGTGCCGCTTTCATATGCATGCGAGGCAAATGAAAATATCATGGCTGTGTCCTCCTATTTAGTCTGGAAGTCTTAAGGCAGCAGATTTGACCAATGCAAGCTGTCATTTGGCTTCGGACTGCTGCTTCCATGACCATTGACCACGGAGTCAAGTCTAACAGTTCCACGACATCTTCCATCTTTTCTCCGTATCTCAAGGTGTTGTATTTTGTTTCTTCAGCTGCACTGTGACCAATACGAAGAGCTGTAGTCTTTGATATTCATCTGTGCTCATAATCCTCTTGATTTTCAGCAAGCAAGGTTGTCTCACTTGCCATCATTACCATCACAGGTTGGTAATGAGGAAGCTCCAATCCTGGTGTTATGCTCTTCTGGATAGATCCGTTTCTCGGATTATGTGTTCAGAATGTACACCGAGTAGGCATGAGTAAGGATGCAACTCTGACGCATGCATTTTCAGATTTTAAACCTTGCAGTATTCCCTTGTTCTGTTTGAACGACTGCCTCCTGGACTTCTTGGTCTGTGTACAAGTTCCACAATTAAGTGTTCTGCACTGCCCTTTTTTTTAGCACTCTTATCTATGGTTTGTTATGAGCTACACGGTTGAGTGCTTTTGCATAGTCAGTAAAACACAAGAGACATTTTTCTATGGTCTGAAATGTAAGTCCCCCACAGAATTCACAATAAAAAAGTCTGTTATGACCACATGGTCAGGGAAAAACAAAGCAAAAAAAAAAAAAAGATGTCATCAAAGGCAGTCCTGACCCAGAATTGTAGGTTTGTTGTAAAGCAAAGGAAAATTCTGTCCTGGGTGCCTTGTGGTGTTCTACTGGGGAAAGAGCAATAAATAATATAGAAAGCCCAGTCTCCTTTTTATATGTGTGTGTCTTCATCAGTAGAAAGATATTCTAAGTACATAATTAAGATGAGCAAATGAAAAAAAATGAGCCAACAAATCAGTAATTCCAGCAGGGGACAAAAAAGAAATTTTACTGACTTAGTTACTAGAACCAGTTTTTCTAAGTGCCTTCCCTGACTACCCTCTATTCCACATGAGTAGGTTTTGCTTATAGATGAAAAGCAGAGGCTGAGGTGTGGCTTACGTAATGGAGCCAATAAACAATGAAATGGCACCAGGTATAACTTGTCTTTTCATTATGCAAGTGCTTCTGTGGCCTCTCATTTTTCAAACTAGTACTCCGCTTCTCCGTACATCCTGTTTCAGTTCATATCAGTTTGACGCTGTAAATTATAGTTCTAGATTTCATTCAAATGGACTAACGTAAACACTCTGTGAGTGCCCCATTTGACAGGGGCACCTACTAAGCCGATGCTTTGTATTTTCAGGAACGTTTTGGCAATGACAGCTGAAGAAAAAAGAGAGCAGCCCATAAGTATGATAAATGAAACCTCTAACTACAGCATGACTTCAGATTATGCCATGCATCCAGTGAGTCCTATAGGAAGAGTAAGTTATTTTGCTTACTGTTAATTTTTAGTAGCAGATAGTATCTATTACTGTCACTTTGAACAGACTAGAATTTGCTTTTAAGGATAATCGTTGTATGTTAATTCTTATAAGGACCTAATTATATTAGAGATAACTTATGTGGACATGGATACAAAGCTTTTGTAAAGTCATATGATGTAATCTAATTTGAATAATGTAATAATTTAATGACTTATTAAGAAATAAGAATAGAACTCAGATTTTTATTTTTGCAAACAAGTATAATGTATGTTTTGTAAATGAGGATTTTATTGCAAACATTGAATATTTTATTCAAAGATTGGATATCCTAAAAACCTTATTTTCTGTCTGAAAGATTGAGGGGAGACTTATGCTAGACATTAGAATAGGAAGTTTAAACTTTAGCCATAGTTTGTTTTTTAAATATAATTTAGAATTTTAGTTTTTGATTATTAAATATAAATAATGCATATGAAATCATTAACTGCCAAAATATTTCAAAATTTATTCAAAATGGCCATGTATAAACTATAAAAAAGCAACACACTTAAAAGTGTAATCAGTGTCACTGGTCAAATTGCTCACTGAGTGATTAAATGGGAACCTTTTTTGCTGTGTAAACTTGCAACAAAACACAGTAATATTTTTATATTAAAAATATTTTTACACAATAATTTTACAGTAGCATAGCAATTTTAATAGCTATGTTTGCTAAGGAAATACGTAGTAGAATTACAATAATATTTCAACTGGCTGTTCAACTGTTTTTAAATAACAATTTATAGACTATTTCAAAAATGGAAATTTTCAAGTGATATAAAAAATTTCTAGTTCTTATTAAATAAAATGCCAAAAGTATAGCTGAGCATTAGAATGCTTCATGATTATATTTTAATTAAAGTCCCGAGAAATGGTAAATGGTTTGGGCACCATTGGGTCCAGAGAGAAAATTGGCTTCATGTCTTATGCAGTACACCCCAAATTTCCCTGCTGGAACCAGTTGTTGGAATGCTAAAAATCAATGCTAGGAGAGCACCAGAAAAGAATGCAAGGTTTTATCTTTTTAAACCTCAGAATAAGACAGGGTTTTCTAATTACTTCATAAAACAGTCTTAATAGAAGAGAAAGACAAAGTCAGCCTGATATGCATAAAATTATCATGCATAAGAATGGTTCCCTTTATAATTAAAGAACTGTAGCTCAATAAGAAAAAACTTAAATGCAGTTTAGGAAGAGACAGTTTTTAAGATTAGTTGCAGAAAGGAAATGAGCATTAAACATATGTAAACGATGCTCAACCTCCTTCATAACATGAAAACTGCTAATTAAAACTACAAAGCCAACACCATTTTTCACCTATCAAATTTGAAAAGATCAAAAGTTTCCTAGCACAGCATGTCGATAAGAGAGGTAAATAGAATTTTTTTTAATGTAATGAGCTCAAAAAAATAGCCTGACAGAAGCATAAAAATTCACAGTTATTTGGGAAAGACGATAGTTTATATAAGTGGGTATTTTAGGGTAGTCAGGGTGGTGAGTTTAGGAGGCCCCGGATAAGTAGACTGGTCTTTGTATATTGTTGTTGTTGTAAAATTGCCTTACGAATTATGTGTTCAGAGAAATCTATGTCATTTCTGAAATTTATGAAAGAAACTTGGCAAAAGGAAAAAGTTTTACAAAACAAAAATCTAAAATATGCTAGGTTTCAAAATATTCAAGATAAAGTCAGAAAAGGGGAGCTGCTTTAATATTGCATACCATTTCTTTCTTAGAGAAATGCCAGTTCGGTTTCCCGTGTCTTGTGGTGTTTGGTTTGGTTTTGGTCACCACTACCAGTCCTGTAGAAATGTATCTTCGTGCTAAATATAGCAGCACGTAAGATATGTTACATCTTTATGGTTACGTTAAATAATACTGCCTCTCAGATGGCACTGGAGTTCAACGTTATCCAAAAAGAAGAAAACACCACATGCCATTCAGTAGATCATGCTAGGTTTGTTTGAACTCGTGTTAAATTTGTTTATGTTTAATATCTCTTCTGACTTAATCCTGTTGACATTCTGTAATTGAAACAATACTACTTAGCGCTAAGTACAGAGAGCAAAACCTTCTGTTGTTTGGCTTATTCTTGAAAATCTGTTAATTTTCACTTAAAGTTTATTCATTTTGTGAAAAATAGAACAAAGTAATGCCACCAGATATGGCTTTGGCAAAAAGTGGCTTTGTCCAGATCACAGAGAAGAAGAAGTAAAACTTGACCTCCTTTTGTAATGTCATTGGGCAGGGACAGGGCACAGTGGGCTTTGGTGCAAACGGGTTACACTTGAAATAGCTCAGCCAGCACCAGGGGAGTTAGCATTTAAACCAAAAGATAGAGAAGGTTCTCAGAAGTACATGGGAGCATTCCATTATCCCATAAACATTTTGAAGTCCCCTCTTCAGGGATTTCTGAAAAGAAAAAAAAGATAAAAATTATGGAGATGAAAAGTAAAATCAACTTGTCTGGGTCTTAATGCCACTTTTCCTATCCTGCTCTTTTCCCCGTAGACTTCGAGGGCTTCCAAGAAAGTTCATAACTTTGGAAAGAGGTCAAACTCCATTAAAAGGAACCCGAATGCACCCGTGGTGAGACGAGGTTGGCTTTATAAACAGGTATACATTAGTTTTTCCTGTAAAAGCAAGAACAGAATGAAAAAGAACCTTATCAGCTGATTATGCCCAGCAGTACTAACAAATGGAAAAGACATTGTAGTATTGTCACCTATCTTCACAACTTAATTTCCCTGAATGTTGTTGGAAGAACAGTGAGAAAGGGGAAGGGAGTGGACAGTACTATCGCAGATTGCTTGTGGGTGGTAGGTATTCGGGCTTTGCTCATGTTACAGAAAAGAATGCTTATGGCTGCTTTATCTAAGTTGGTTCATAAAACACAGGCTTAACAAAATTTTTTTATTAAGATCACCTTTTCTTGTTTCTAAATTAAAGTTAAAGACTATATGAAAATGCTAGGATGAAAAATGCTAAAATTATCCAGGTAGCAATATTGTAAAATATCAGAATAGGAAAAAAAGAAAGCCCATATGAGAGTACTGTTAGGTTAATTTTCTATTCCTACAAAAATTATCACTGAAACTGCAGTTGTGTACTTCTCTTGCTTTATTAACAAATTTGGGTGTGGGGGGGAGGATAATACATTACTGGGTTTTCTCAGTTGCGATATTTTATTATAATCCAGAAAATACTATTTGCTTTGAGATTACCCACAGACTACCTACTGTTTCACTTAGTTTTTTGTGTTGTTTGTTTATGCCTTTTCTGAAAAAATGTGAGTATTCTTTCAGGTGGGGTTCACATTGCTTATATTACTGGAGAACCTGATGAGTAAGCTCTTTTTTGAATCTTATTACTAGTTTTGTAGATGTAGAGGGACATATGTACTGTACCCCCTTGAACTGTATAACTTTTCTTTGACTGCTGTGAGACCATTGTTTTCTAATTTGCCGATGCGATAACCAGAAAACTGACAGTTTACTCAGTATTCCAGGCCTTTATCTGTTTATGTCTCTGATCCTGCATATGTATAAGTAGATAAAACAAATTAAATATTAGTTCATTCATGTGCCTGATTTATTCTTTTTAACTACTGCTAATTGCTTTCAGATAGCCTAATAATTTTTATTCATTAAAGGGATAATAAAATGTGTCAGAAGAAAAAGATGAACCTAATTTAATGATGATAATGTGTTGTCTAAATTAGTGTTCTCTATTTTACTTCTCTGGGTTCTAATATCCATTGCAGTGCCTAAACAGAGCTCACAGACAACATTTATGATTAAAGTGTTTATTAAGGAAGTTAACAAGTTGTAATGCCAGTGAGAAATGCTCATGGTTGAGTTATTTATCAAGACAAGTCACAAAATTCTGTAAATTGTACTAATAAATGCCACTGTGCTATCAGTTTCAACTCAAAGGCATTCAACTTAAGCTCTTTGATTCAGTAAACCCAGCTCCTTGAATTAAGTGCCCAGAGCAACCCCACTCCATTAAGACTCTGCCCAAAGACACACGCAGCTCTATTTCCATGGATCATCAAGTTCAACTTTTCCAATTAAGTGCCCAGAGCCCCCCCACTCCATTAAGACTCCGCCCAAAGACACACGCAGCTCTATTTCCATGGACCATCAAGTTCAACTTCTCCAATTAAGTACCCAGAGCCCC